CACGATTTGCTTCATTTTGTTTTGTTTTTTCGAGATGGAGTCTCACTCTGTCACCCAGACTGGAGTGCAGTGGCACGATTTTAGCTCAGTGCAACCTCCACCTCCTGGGTTCAGGCAATTCTCCTGCCTCAGCCTCTCGAGTAGCTGGGATTACAGGTGCGCACCACTATGCCTGGCTAATTTTTGTATTTTTAGTAGAGAGGGGGTTTCACCATGTTGGCCAGGTTGGTCTCGAACTCCTGACCTCAAGTGATCTGCCCGCCTCAACCTCCCAAAGTGCTGGGATTATAGATGTGAGCCATTGCACCCGGCCAGACAATGTTTATGAGATTCATTAATATTATTGTGTGTAGTTGACGATGGTTCGAGTCTCATTCCTATATAGAATTCCATTGTGTGAATATACTACTTTTTAAAAACATCCATTCCACTACTGGCGCGTTTGGGTAGTTCCAGAGTTTGTCTATTATGAGAATTATTGCTGTGAACATCTTTGTGCATGTCTTTCAGAGCACATTATCTCATGCACATTGCTGTCGGGTAGATGCCTGGGAGCAGGTTTTCTGGGCGTGCATATGTTCAGCTTGGGTAGCTGTTGCCAAACAGTTGTCCAAAACGGTCATATGAGATTTGTAGTTGCTCTACTTTTTTGCCAACACTTGGTATGTTTTATTTTTTTTCATTTTAGCCATTCTAGTGCATGTGTCATAGTAGCATATTGTAGTTTTAATTTGCATTTCCTGGCTGACTAATGAATATAAGCACCTTTTCATGTGTTTATTGGCTGTTTGGACAGCCTCTTTTATGAGATGCCTACTTAAGTCTTTTGTCCATATTTTTATTCAGTTGTGTGACTTTCTTACTGACTTACAGGATTTCTTTACATGTTCTTTTTTTTTTTTTTTTTTTTAGATAGAATCTGGCTCTGTCACCCAGGCTAGAAAGCAGTGGCATGATCTCAGCTCCCTGCAACCTCCACCTCCTGGGTTCAAGCGATTCTCCTGCCCCAGCCTCCTGAGTAGCTGGGATTACAGGTGCCCACCACCACACCTGGCTAATTTTTGTATTTTCGCAGAGACGGAGTTTCATCATGTTGGCCAGGCTGGTCTTGAACTCCTGACTTCAGGTTGATCTGCCTGCCTTGGCTTCCCAAAGGGTGGAATTACAGGTGTGAGCCGCCATGCCCGGCCTAGTATGTTTTTCAAAACTAAAAAATTGGCCAGGCGTGGTGGCTCATGCCTATAATCCCGGCACTTTGGGAAGCCAAGGTAGATGGATTGCTTGAGCTCAGGAGTCCAAGACCAGCCTGAGTAACATGGTGAAACCCCAGCTCTACAAAAAATACAAAAATTAGCCAGGTGTGGTGGCATACACCTGTAGTTCCAGCAATTCAGAAGGCTGAAGTGGGAGAATCGCTTGAGCCTAGGAGCTGGAGGTTGCAGTGAGCTGAGATCGAGCCACTGCACTCCAGCGTGGGTGACAGAGTAGTAAGACGCTGTCTCAAAACAAAAAATGAAAAAAACAAAACAAACAAAAAAAACTTAAGAAATTAACATAGGTACTATACTATTAATTCAATTAAGTCTTTTTTTGGATTTCACCTTTTTTTCCTGTCCTTTTTTGTGTTTCAGAATTCAGTCTAGGCTTCCACATGACACTTAGTTGTAATGTCTCCCAGTCTCCTCCAATCTGTGACAGTTGATTGGTCTTGCCTTGTTTTTCATGCTGTGGTAGGTTTTAAAAGTACCAGTCAGGTGTTTTCATAGAATGTTGCTCAACTGGGTTTTTCTGATGTTATCACATGATT